CTAAAAATTTAACCAAATAAAGTTCATTTAGTATACTATAATATGAATCAAAAATCTCATTTTTTGTTAAAAGTTCCCGGAACCCATTTTTAATAGCAAAGCTCCCAAATGATCTAATTGTATAAAAAAAATTATAAACAATCAATATTTTTAATTATATGAACTTTATGCAAAAGGAAATCTGAAAGGAAGGTAGAGTAAAGTTGGTGAAAAATATGAAGAGCAATTTAAAATTCCATTTTGGAAAAAACCTGATAAGCATTTAAAAATGTATTCTGTTTAATTTATAGTTAAATTCAAACTTTTTATTTTTGGCTTCTCGAGTAGAAGAAAGAAGGTGATTTGAATTAAAGTGTCATAAGTTTTGTTATTTAAGTTTCAACTATTTTAAACTTATTTTAAACTAAATTTTATATTTACTTTACTAGAAAATTTAAATAATTCTCATTTTTTCAATTCTCCTTCTCAATGAAAATCTGCATCACCACCTTTACTATCTAATATGAAAACACTATCACAAACCATAAACTCCTTTACATAATTCTTTTTTAAACCTAATTATCACTCCAATTATTGACATTCTTTTTTTTTTCCATTTCCTCCTTTAATTTCACATTCAGTTTTTTTTTTATAGTTTTTTTTTCTGATTTTCATAAAAAAAAAATTTTTTTTTCCTAAACGAAGCTTGCCATCTCTATACAGTATTTAGGACCAACAGTTATAGACTAATTATATCTGGTCAAGAGCAAGCATACTTTAACAATTATAAATTTATTCTATTTGTAGTTTTATTTTTTTATTTTATTTATGTATCTTTATTGTAATAAATAATAGAACCAATTAACATGCAAAAACAAAAATTTTGTTATTAAAATTCTATTTCGTTGGTTTCAAAAACTAATGCTTTTTCGAATTCTTTTTAGATAAATAATGATAAAAATTAGATTCTTCTAAATAAGTTATCAACTATGATTGAAACTGCAGCTGAAAATTCAGTTAAACCGTCGGTTGAACTAATGGTCTAACCATATTGAATCACGTGATAAAAACCGATATTTGTGGTTCTTAATCTTGAAACCCAGTTCGGTTATACAACCAGTTTAAAACCGGTTTATCTTTAACCTACACCCGCTCATTTATAAAAATTCAATTAAACCCAGAAACAAATTATATACAAGCATACCGCGAACATAAACAAATTATCAACACTATCAATAAACTGTCCACAATTTCGAAATGAACCTCGGGAGCTCAGTCTGTCCAACCTCAAACATAATATAAATCCCCGAAGCAGTCTACATTTTACATATTTACATATAAACAATTTAACAACTAATTTAGCAAATAGATGGCAGATAGTTTGCCATCCGAAGATTACACAGCGTCGTCCCGTTTCCTTAATGACCTATTCTAATAAGATCAATGACTTTTTTTTGGCATTGTTATTCTTTCCTTCTCCAGTATTTTTCGTCGTACATTACTTCAAAAACAGATTTATTATTATTTAAAACCAATCATATCCGGTTGTTTTGCGCGTGACGGATCCATATTAGAGCTTTAACGCTCATGTTTGCAATGTAGTGGGATGAAACGTGGAACCATGAAAGAAAGAACGCGAAACAAGGCTGATAATGTTGGCCGTTAAAGTACCTTCACTAAAGGGTCATCTAACGGTTTGATAGGAATGTCTTTCGTTCTAAACATAAAATATAAGCATTACCAAAGTAAAACGGTTAAAAAAGAAGAAAAATGTCACGATTTAAAATTACAGCTGTATAAAAATGAACTGCATTATATCAAATATTTTCTGATCCGTGGGATTAGGAAAAGTCTTTGTCAATGATTTTCTTACGGTCTTTTCAACTTCTTCTAATCCAACAATTGCGGTCTAATATAGTAAGTTTAGTAAAAATTTAGGATAACGAATTTTCAGACAACACCGCATTAATGCAATATATAAATACCTCAACAAATTCTCGAAACAGATTTTACAGTTATGGTAACCTTTTTTTCACTGTGTATATTACACATTGCCTGGAGAATTGTTTGACCTGCAAGTCTGAAAATTTATCTGGACAAGCTCCTAATATATAAAATATTTGTTAGTGACTGATAATCCATATAAGACAATTTCTTAAGTTCAAGCTTACAAAATTTCATGATAATTTGTCCAATTAACAAAACCGATGTTTGTCCCATTCGTAATGCTTCAAACCGATACGAAGTTAATAGTTTGGAAATATTTTTGCCTTGGTACATATGCTGTAAAGGCATATTCGTTGTCATACCAGTGATTTTGCATCACGTAGTTAGTTAGTATACAGTAAACGAAAAAAAAGTGTGTTACATACTCTAAACAATATAATAATCGGTGTAATCTGGCACAGATTTCAGGTGCCTGGTTTTGGTTGCAGCATGTCCCCATATGATCTATTTCTTAAAATACAGAACTAATAAACCTGTACATCTGATATGCATTTATAAAATTCGTTTTAAAACACAAAAAATCTTAATTAGCTTAATTAATTAACAAAAAATAACGTTTCACAGGTCAGATTAGCAAATTTGGTTGTACATATATTATTTTCTTTGCCTAAAAAAAAAGTAGATCATATTTAGTTCCCATGAAACATTTGGTGTAACCAATCTCAATTACCAAAAGTAATTAAATTTATTAGTTCGGCTTCTGAGCATCAGTAGTTGTTGTTCTTCAAAATCTACAAATGAATGCACTCGTAGTAAAGAAGGGTTACATTTCGGTGAAGGAAGATGGTTTAAGGGCTTGGATATGGTCGAAGAGATGGTTATTACTCAGAGAACAAACACTTACTTTTCATCGTAACGAGGTATGAAAGTTCTTTTACTTCTCATCTACCATCTAAGACAACATTTAGTTAATAAACTATTTATAGCCCAAGTCCTTACTTTATTATTTTTAATTTAAGGAATTAATTTATAGTATTAACTTTTTTTTCTTGCTAACTAGAATACGTATCAAGCCGTTGCTCTAATTTTCCTTAAAGAGATTATAAACGTTTCTCGGACAGATTTAAAACCTTACTGTTTTGAAATTCAAACAAAAGACAAGACATATTACCTTTCTTGCAAAAATGACGAAGAATTGTATTCCTGGATGGATGAAATTTATACGGTAAGCTTTTTATGTCATATATCTGATTCTGTGTTAATGTTTGTTCTTTATTACACCTTTTATAAGACTGCCTTTATGTCTATATCAAAGAATTCCAAATTTATGAATAAACTTTTTTTTCATCAAGCTTGCTGAATTCTATAATAAAATTATCATAAATAACAGCATCTTAATGCTTTACATTATATAAATTATATAAAACTATATATTATTTTACTTTATAACTTAATGTAAATTTAGCGATCACCTTTAAGCGGCGTATCCAACCCTACAAATTTTTCGCATAATATACATGTTGGATTTGATCCAGTTAGTGGGATGTTTACAGTAAGTATAATATGTTATTAATTAATGTGTGTTTTATAAAAATACTTTATCGATTCCATCATAACCCTCATCATTTGTTATAATAACATCTAGGGAATGCCTGAACAATGGACTAAACTTTTGACAGCTTCAGCTATCACTCAAGAAGATTATGAAAAAAATCCTCAAGCAGTTTTAGATGTATTGGAATTCTATACAGAAAATCAAAAGAGAGAGAGGGAATACGAAGATGGTATATTAGGTCACATTCCAGGTTTCCCTGCACAACCTGATGATAAATGGGCTGACCTATTACCGAAAAAAAATAATGTGCCTGCAAAGAACCAATTATTTCCTAATCCTAATGGTAACGGATATGATATGAATAAAATTTCACCTGGTGGGGTCACTGGAATGGGTAATAACAGTATGAATGGAAGACAAATGGTCCAACCAAACAACATGAGCAATAATTCCATAGGTGGTAGAAATGATATTGCAGATTCTTCTCGCAAAATGTATTATGAAGATACTGTGAGTAATCGAGTAATTCTTTTAATTTTCTTTAAATTTAAATTTATTAAATTTCACTTGCTTTGATTATAGCGACCTGATATTCCACCAAATCGCCCTCCAATTACCCCAAGGCCTCCAAATACGCTGAGTGCAAATAATATACGTCCACCAACAAATTCCGGACCCGCTCCATCAATTGCCTCATCCGTAAGTTCTTTTTTTTTAAAAAAAAGCTTTGTTGATTGTATCAAAAGGCTATAGAATGAAATAGTGACGACAAATGACTCGCGTTTTAGCAAAATTAAATATATTTTACTTTTTTTTTTAGACATATAATCAGCAACCTTCTCAACCAATGATGTCATCAACACCCCAACGTATTCCTGAAAAGTATTCATCTTCACAAAATTATCAACAACAACAACCACCACCGCAAATGTCTAATCAACAACCGCCTAAAGCATTTTCACCTCCTCAACAACTTCAGCAACAACAACAAGCACCCGGACCAAATACACCAAAACCAATACAACAATATCATCAACAACAAGAAATTAACCAACCACCAAAACAAACGCAGGCCCCTCCTAAACAAACAAGCCCTCAACCACTAAAGAAGTCTGCACCAGAAAGAAGGATTAGCACAATGACAGAAGCACAGATTATGGAAAAATTGAGATCAGTGGTTTCGCCAGGTGATCCAACTATAATCTATAGTAAAATTAAGAAAGTTGGTCAAGGGTAAATAAATTTACTTTTATACTAAATTGCTTTAACCAAATCAAAATTTATTAATTTCCCATAATTTTTTTCTCACGTACTTAAATAGTGCTTCCGGTTCTGTATATGTTGCTAAGTCCCTCACGACAAGCGCTAAAGTTGCCATTAAACAGATGGATCTTTCGCATCAACCTCGAAAGGAGCTCATTGTTAATGAAATTCTCGTAATGAAAGAATCGCAGCATCCAAATATTGTTAATTACCTTGATTCTTTCTTAGTAAAAAGCAATGAACTTTGGGTAGTTATGGAATATATGGAAGGTGGAGCATTAACGGATGTTATTGACAATAATACTCTTGAAGAAGATCAAATTGCGGCTATATGCTTTGAGGTAAAGATTGCTTTCAGTAATATACATTCCTTATATATAAATTTTTTTGAAGCTAATTTATAAATTATTTAGACATGTAAGGGACTCCAACACCTTCACGGACAAAATATTATTCACCGTGATATTAAAAGCGACAATGTTCTGCTGGATGCATATGGTCACGTAAAAATTAGTAAGTACTTGTAAATTCAATAAAATTTAAACAATAATTAATCTAATTAATTTTTCGATTCTAGCCGATTTTGGTTTTTGTGCCAAATTGACCGATCAAAAAAATAAACGTGCAACAATGGTTGGAACTCCTTATTGGATGGCGCCTGAAGTAGTAAAACAAAAAGAATATGGTGCCAAAGTAGATATTTGGTCACTTGGAATTATGGCAATTGAAATGATAGAAAACGAACCACCCTACTTAGATGAAGAACCTCTTAAAGCTTTATATTTAATTGCCACGAATGGCACCCCAACATTGAAAAAGCCAGAAAAATTATCTCGAGAGCTCAAGAGTTTCTTAGCTGTATGTTTGTGTGTAGATGTTAAAAGCAGGGCAACTGCTTTGGAACTTTTAGAAGTATGTATTATTTAATTTATTTTGTAAAACAACTTTTATAATGATACAATTTGTAATTATTGAATTTTCTTTTTTTAGCATGAATTTTTGAAGAAAGCTTGTCCGTTATCAGACCTTGCTCCTTTGCTTAAATTCAAGACCGCGAAGGATGGAAGATCATAATTATTAAAATTGTAAAATAGTTTAATATATATTTATTTCTTTTAATACTATTTAAAATTAGAAATGTATTAGCTTTCTTGTTTTTTGTTCTCGTTCCTTTATACTGTTCATCATCATATAGAAATATTCATTCATCTTTTAAAATTTTTTTTTTACTATGATAGGTTGATATTTGATATTTACATTTAATTTTTTCCTTGTATTGGAGGTATAGATGTTTCTTTCATTGGTAATTGGGCAGAATCTATTTAATTTCATATTTTTATATTTTATTTCATGTTCTTTGTATTGTACATTTTTATTTTTCTTCTGTACATTGCTAGACATGGTAATTGAAGGAATGTTAGGTTACGATGTTGTATATATATATTTTTATATACCTTTTTCTTATTTTTTTACCTAGTTTTTCTAGCCCTATAAAAATCGTGATGATGTTTATTTAAAAATTTATATAATATTATTATAACTTTATAATAAATAATTTGTTTAATGTTAATTAATTAATAACGTATCATGTGTCATTACGTAAGTCTATCACGTGAAATAATATCGCGCCCAAATTATTTTTTTTAATCTCTGATTCAAATAAATTTTACCGCAAAACTTTGAAATGGTAAGTCATCTTGTTCAAAGGCTGATTTTTCATTTTTCATTATCATTCATTTATTCCTGTACTTTTAAATTTTTAGAGACCTATTCTTTTACAAGGACACACTCGTTCTCTTACACAAATCAAGTATAATCGTGAAGGAGACCTTCTCTTTTCTGTATCAAAAGATCATGTAGTGAACGCTTGGTATTCACATAATGGTGAACGTTTAGGGACTTATAATGGTCATGTCGGTGCAATATGGACAGTTGATGTTAATTGTAATATTAATTTATATTGTTAAATTTGATCTTATTTTTGAGACTTTTTAATTTAATTTCTGTGAACTTTATTATTGATTCTAGCAACAAGTTCTCTATTATTAACTGGGTCAGCAGATAACAATGTGAAACTTTGGGAAGTTGAGACTGGCAATTGCTTGCACACTTGGGAATTCAAAACTGCTGTTAAACGCGTTGCATTTTCCGAAGATGATAGCATGGCTCTTTTTGTTACTGAACAGCGTATGGGATTTCCAGGAACTGTAGCCATTTATTCAATCGAAAATGACGTTGATGCAAAACGTAATTAAATTCCTTGCACTCCCTTAATAAAGTGTTATCGTGATCTTTTAATTCTATATTAACAAAATTTTTGAATTAAATTAGAATCTGACGAACCAATTACAACTATAATTCCAGAAGGTTCAAAAGCCATGGTCTCTGATTGGGGTTATCTCAACAAATATATAATAACTGGCCATGAAAATGGTGCAATATCGCAATATGATTGGAAGGTTACTTGAAATTCTTTTTTTCTTCTTTAAACGAAATTATCGTATCTCAAATCGTTAAACAAAGTTTATTCAATTGTTAGACGGGTGAAAAGATTAAATCGATCCATCCGCATACGGATGTTATTACCGATCTACAAATGTCGGAAGATCGAACATATTTTATTACCTCCTCAAAAGATAAATCGGCACAAATTTTTGAATCCAGTACACTCATTCCTTTAAAGAAATACATTACTGATGCTCCTCTTAATTCGGCATCCATAACTCCCATTCAAGAATTCGTCATTTTAGGTGGTGGACAAGATGCCATGCAGGTTACCACCACTACAATGAGACAAGGTAAATTTGAATGTCGATTTTGGCACAAAATTTTTGAGGAGGAAGTAGGACGTGTAAAAGGACATTTTGGTCCCATTAATACAATTGCCGTTCATCCGGATGGCAAAAGCTTTTCTTCCGGTGGAGAAGATGGTTACGTCCGAGTTCATCATTTCGATGAAGATTATTTTAAATTCAAATATCCTGAATTATAAAACTATTTATATTAAAACTCGCGTAATATTTAATTATAAATAAAAAATATTATGACCCATTAATGCAAAAATAAAATATAGAATTTTTTAAACGTAGGATTTTATATAAATCATTTATTGAAGTGGTTTATGAAGTCTATCTTGTATTAAAACGTGCTTTTGTAAATTTTTTTGTAATATATATATATATATATATATATTTTTTTTTTCTTTTTTTTTTTTAAAAAAAAAAAAAAAAATTACGTACAACGAAACAAAAAATTTCAAATTTTTTCCAGTGCTTCCATTATCACTACCGAATTACCGCGAATGACCTATCAGTAAATATTAAATGTTAATTTGCGCGTAATTAAGAAAAAAAAATTTTTTTTATTGCAGGGTACAAACACTTACCACCATGCCAATGTTATGTTTTTCAGTGGAAGAGACTTCTTCGACTGTATCGTCTAATACTAAATTCATAAATGGATCGTAACCACGTAGAATTCCAGTTACTTTTCTAGCACCGTTCAATTGGATAAATAAACGTTTCTCCATATACCTATTTAGCAAATATAATAATTTTATTAATTAATAAAAGAAAAAATTGTTTCTATTGAACTTTATACACGTAAAGGAACAAGTACTTTTTCAATTCTGGTTGTGATGCTTTAGACATTTTTGTTTCAGATTTCGTAGGAAGCAACTGAAAAAGTTGAATAGAATTAGATTACTCGGTTTTATTGTTTAAAATGTAAATAACTTGTCAGCTATTGGTCCAATAATGTAATACTGTAGTTTTTGGATTGGTCGATTGTTCATCTATATATTTTTACAGTTGCTTTCTACTTTTTCTACTTAGAAGAACGGTTTCATATTTTCACGTTCATTATTATTTGTCAAATTGATTTGTTAACATTCTACAATGTCTTATAATAAAACGTAAGTAAATACAATATACTTAAAAGGATTTAAGTTATTATTGCTTGTATGCTTTTTTTCTTTTCCTTTCTTTTTCAAAACCTTTTGAGGTATATTGTGCTTTTTTAGTCGAAAGCGTAAGTGGGATCTTGATGATCAAGGAAAGAAAGCACCTCCAACTACTGCGCCTACACCAAAATCAATCAAAATAGAAGATATTAGCGATGCGTCGGAATGTAAAGCTCCCTCGATGACGACATCGAATTCACAAATTTCTGAAACTGTTGATCCCAACCTTGCCGCGGGTTTGTGATATTTTTTATTTTATTTTTTTTTACTTTATTTTATTTATTCATTCAAGCAAATCGTTAAAGTACTATATTGCATCTTAAATACGAAATAGCTGCCGCCGCTGCTAAGATAAATGCAATGCTTGCAGCTAAAGGCATTCAAGTTCCAGCGAAATCATCGGTTGTATCGGCATCTAAAGCAGAAGCAGCCGATAATGGCGGTTTTGAGGTATAAAATAAGATGAATACGCGTTCCTTATGTTTATTGCTACACCTTTATTTATTTCATTCTTGATTTGTATAATTTTCAGGATTATAGACAACTCAAGCAGCCCATCAAGGAGACTGATATGGATTTTATTATTGATATTACAATTAATGATTGTAAAAATAGATACCTTTTGACTAAAGGTTTAACTCAACAAATGGTAAGGTTTTAAGGAAAAAAAAATATTATTCTTTCTAATGATTAGGATTTATTTATAATTCATAAACTTTTTATAGATCCAAAAAGAAACTGGTGCAGGTAGTAATTGCACTTTAAAACATTTTATTCATTATTATATCTTAAAGAGAATTAAATTATATAAATACTATTTAGATGTAACAACTCGTGGAAAATATTACCCTGATAAACTCCTCGCCACCGAAAAGGATCCGCCACTATTTTTGCACGTGACGGCATCAACTCAAGAAGCGTTAGATGCCGCAGTCAATAAAATAAATGAGTTGATGGAACAATCTTTCACTCCTGCTCCGCCTGCAACAACGCCTCGTCCTCCCGGTTCCCATTCAGGAGGAGTATGTATTATTATATATTTGATTTTCCTATCATTATAAATTTTTAATTTTTTTTTAATTTTTTTACAATTTTTATAATAGAAGCAATTTGTTCAGGATAAAGTATTTGTTGGTATCGAACCTGATCGTACCTTTAATGCGCGAGCAAAAATCGTAGGTCCACAAGGTGCTTATGTTAAACATATTCAACAAGAAACTGGAGCAAAAGTACAACTTAAAGGGCGTGGGTCTGGTTATGTCGAACCTACTTCGGGGACAGAAGCTTTTGAACCGTTACATATTCATATCACGTGTGTAGATTAGAAAATGGTCGATTCTTATTAAATTAAATTCAAGAGAGAGATATATGTTTTTACTTTCATTTCTATTTTTTTTTTTTATTATCTCATAGATGTTGGAGTCAAGAAGGACTCGACAGGGCTAAGAAATTATGCGAAGATCTGATAAATACAGTTAAGTTGGAATGGGACAGACACAAGGCACAACAGGCTTCTTATCCTGCATACGGAAGGTCTCCATATCCCCGTCCTCCCGTTTATGGGCATCCTACACCTCCAATTACAGGGGTATGTTAAATATGTTTCTAATAAATAAATACAATTTTTAAGATGGATATGAAAATTAATGAAGATTTCCTTGTTAGTCTTACCCTCCTCCACCCGCCAATCCTCCTTTACCTAGTGGGCCACCACCACCAATTAGCGGTAATCCACCACCACCACTTAGTAGTGGCAATCCACCACCACCACCACCTCTTCCACCTATGTCAGCCCCAAATAATAATTCTTCTCAACCTCCTTTACCAACCTATCCGCCACCACCACCACCTTCTTCACAACCTTCACAGCCTTCTTCAACTTCTGCATCAATATCTGTAGCACCCGTTTCTTCTCCTACTATGACTTCAAATCCATATAATAATAATAACACAAACGCTTACGGGACGAACACCTATAATAATGCTAATAACACGTATCCGACTAGCGGCGCTACCAATTATAATCCTTATAATCCATACAATCAATCTCGGTATTACCAATATCCACAATACAATTATTATTCGCAAGCTGCTCAACCTGCCACGCAGACTGCTGATGCGGGCTATTATTATGGATATCCAGGTTATCAAAATGCTGCGGGATATCAGACTTCAACTGGATATCAGGCTACGGCGACGTCGGCACCTGTTCCTCCGATAACATCATCACCAGCAGTGACAAGCATTTCGACATTGACGTATGATGATAAAAAGCAATCTTCATCTTATCATGCCGTACCACCACCGGAATCTTATGATAATGAGGTTGGTAAATGATAAAACTGCAAACTTAATTTTGTATTTATTTCTTTTTTGTTTTGCTTTTTTTTTCCTATTTCTATTTTAATTTTTTTGGGATAGTAATGTATGATAAAGAAAATTAATAATATTTCTAAAAGAATCGAAGGGGGATTTGGGATTTCGCGTGAGAAACGGTGCGCAGATGCGCACGCTACTTACATTGCAAGTTTTTTCTTCTTCTTTTAGAGGTGAAATTAACCGAATAAGCAGGGCTTGTTTTGTTTTCTTATTTTTTTTTATACGAAAAGAAGGAAACTAGACAGGTCTCCAATCCTTGGCTACAGAATAATCGTATAATTTTTTTTTATGTTGTTAAACGAAACGATACGCTTTTAAACTAAACAAACGATTAAGTTTATTCTAGAATCCATGAAAATATGGGCAAGGCCCAAACACGATTCGAATTATTTCGCGTAATGTTTATGTTGTCTGTCTTAGTTATATTTTTCTTTCAAACGTATATATTCCCATGATCCTCAGGCTAGTTTATTTTTATTATTCGTTTTTATATTGTATCTACGAATTATTTATTAATTGTTAAAATAAGAATAAATGAGGTCACAAAATTATATTAGAAACATTATTTTTATTTATTCTTTTTCGAAAAATTTTTTTAGTATATGATTAATATGGATGATTTATAAATTCTTTTCTTTTTAAACAAAAAAAAAGTTCAAATATATAAGCTTACTTATTTTTCATTTTAATTATAGCTATCGCTTTTTTGAAATGATAAGGAGAGGTTTTCAAAATTAATCATGTGAATTTCGAGATTTGGGAATACTCGGTATATCATTTTAATAACCCTTCATAAATTAATAATTATCCAATTAGTTTACTGAGGTATTAATAAATTTTGTTTTTTTCCCCTTAACGCATAAATTAATTTTATATATACAGTTTGAAGTGTAAAACTTATTTATTAAATTTCGGGAATTAAATTAATTTAATTCAAAAGTTCGAGAGAGTTTGGTAGAAAATATAATATAAAACAATCAATGTTACAATTAAAATTATAATAAGTTGAAGTCCACCTATAAATAATAAAAAAAAAACGAATGTCATTATGTATATATGGATATCAAAAGATGAATAATATAAAATATAATTACCGGTATTAAATGTTTCTGGTAACTGTATAATATGAACGGAATTATCAGCCGATCCGCTTACAACTAGAGTTGAGTCATGATTGAATGCGATAGTGGTGGGTGGGAACCCATGCACATTAGGCACTATAAGAAGAACCTTCAGCGTTAGTGAATCGCAGATTCCAATACTATGATCGGACGCTCCATATCCCAATAATTTTCCATTATCACTTGTTTTTATTAAATAAATAAATAAATTAATTTCATTATTTCATTTTTTAAGAATTACAAATTTTTTTTTAAAATATGAAATTATTCACAAGTTACCTGATTGTAAAAGTAGTGATTCGTCTTTTACCAATAACCTTTGTTGAACACCTTTCAAAAGTTGTAGCATTCCATTTAACAAGAAATGTTCTGGATATCGAAGTCATATTGACCACAGTATAAAAAAATCCAGCAGATGTTCCTTTACCAAATCGACATGCCCTAAATTGACATTGAGAAGATTTTTTGAAAATGGGGTTCTCTATTGAATGAATACATTCACCATTTTTTGTTAAAAGAATTCTCAAGGATTTCACGGAAACAACCAAAAGCTGTAATTATTATTATTAAAAGTTAAATTATTATAATTATTATTATTTTTTTTTTTTAGTATAAGTACAAGATAACAAAAACATTTTACAATCAATTCTAACTACCTGATTTCCGGTTGAATCGAAATCCAAATCGTATATTTCCTGTTTGCTAAAATTTACAGGTGGAAAGGCAACGTCTAGTGAAGGATACTTCAGAACGGCCAACTTACTATCTGTACCACCGGTAGCCAATAATTTGCCATCTTGAGTAAAGGCGGCAACTTTCTAAATAATTTACTGATTTATCAATATTATTCAATGAATTTTGAATAATATATATGATCTATCTTTTTACCTGATAATCATCCTCATTAGTGCTTGTTATTGTTTGAGATTTCTTAACCAACTCTATTCTAAATATATATAAATATAATTAGCTTAATTATTTATTTATTTATAAATCTTGTTTTTTTCTTGAAACGGGTAAAATATATATAGTCACATACTTTTCATTTGAATATTCAAAGATTCGACAATTATTATTAGACCCATGATTTATCTTTTCTGCGGTACTATTGATACCACAAGCGAATATATTATCCTATAAAAATTTTATGAACTCAATTAAATAAAATTCAAACGCGATCCGATGTTATCGACAATAAATTTTTTATGCATTTTGATACCTCATTATGAATAGCTATACAAGTTGGCCTGTCTTCTTCTTTATTTAATATTACTTCGACAACTTGTTCAAGAGTTTTTTCTGATAACTTACATTTGAATAAAACCTAAATAGAAAACTTGCTCAAAAATATGTATATATTGAACAATATCCTCGACATTGAACAACCCTTTAACATACCAACTTATTATTTACACCGGTGTTACCAGGTCCACCACCCCCACCGAGCAAGACTTCTCCCGAAGGAGTAAATCCTAACAAAATGCGAGTACATAAGTATAACGATATAAAGTCTAGTTTAAGGACTATTGTTAAAAAAGATTAGGTACCTGCACAGTATACAGGAAAGTCAACTTTTATTGAAAATTTTTCAAGAGTTCTAGACATTCAAGCTCCAAAGTTTAAAAAAGTGAAAGCTAAGGAGTTTAAAGAAGCGACAAATCTTTAATGCATCTTGTGGTCACGTGACTTATCGAATTGAGTTTTTTTTTTAAAAATTATCTTGATGAATTTTATTAAAAAAATAGCAAAGCTCTAAGGAATATTACTTTTTTAAAAAAAAAATCATTCGAGAACATAAATAATGAATGATTTTATTTACACGTTTTTCTTAAGCATCTTTTTCCAGTGTATTACGTTCACTAACATAGATACCGTCCAAAAATTTTCGAATATCTTTATTCTTAACTGCGGTAGATTGTTGAATGTTGGCAGCTAAAAAATTAAAAAAAAATTTATTAAATAAAAATTTTTAACTGAAAATTTTTTTTCACTTAAATTTATTAAATACCTGATTGAGAGACATTTTCCAAATCATTTCCAGTCAAAATCAATTCATCCTTTTGAGCAGAGGAGATTTTAATTTCAACACCGGGCAACATTTTTACACGTCTGATAACTTTTTCACCTAAAAAGTTACGAATTTCAACCTCATTTCCAGTGTCAGCAATATGAACGTTAATTGGGAAATGCGCATAAACATAACGCATCTTGTATTCAAATCCCTAAATCATTAAAAATATTTTAACGTTTTGTTTGTTAAAGAGTTTGATACCTTTACATTAACAAACCTTAGTAACGCCGGTAATCATATTCTCAATATGAGCTTTTACTGTACGTAAACAAGCAACGTGTTTACGAGTTCCATGCCACACAATAAGTCTAATCTTATGAGTTCCAATTTTTTGTATCTCTAAATCGATGTGACGAAGATTCTTGACCAAAGTTCCTCGAGGCCCTTTCACTGTGATACAACGTGCTTTAACTTTTATTTCTGATACATCCTTGTGAATAGTAAACTCTTCGACTTTTTTGATATCCCTCATTTTAATTCTTATATTTCCTGTTAAAAAAAAAAGAAAAGAAAAGAAAAGAAAGAGAAATAATAAGTTGTCAACAGCACTAATAAAAATTATACTCTGATCAAATTATCTTTTTTTTTTCACATCAACTGCATTATAAAGTTTTTTTCCTCCTTATATTCTCTTTTTTTTTTTTTTTCTTTTTCTTGAAGTAATCCGAATTCTAATTCATTCTATTGACTCAATTATATTGAACTAACCAAACGCAAGCCGACACTATGTGAACGGATGCCAGTAATGTTGGATGAAAAGGAAGAACATCTAAAAAATCAATTTTTACGTATATATAGCAGTGATAATCCCATGTGCCGCAGTATCATGTGTAACACAATGAATTTCATATACATTAATTTTTTATTTTATTTAATTTAATTTTATTTTAAAAATGTCTTTTTCCTTTATTAGAACTTCTTGCTCGGCAAGAAGGTTACATAAGCGATTAGGGAAAGTTCAATTAAGAAGAGCAAGTAGTCATGAACCACAGTATAATGAGCCTGGTGGCTACTTGTTTGGTGAAAAAGTGAGTTCCAAGTTTTTTCTCATTGTTTAATACTGCGAATTTTTAATAATGCTTTATACATTTTATTGACTAGCCCTTACCAGCGGGACAAAAACGCGTGAAAGATTATTGGGAGAATATATGGATTTATGGTATGGGCGGAAGTCTTCTAATGGGAACCATTATCGCTATTTATAAACCTGACACAAGGCAAGATACACTCAGCAATTGCTTAAATGTACAATAATTTTTTTTTTAATTTATTGATTGCATGTTATATAGCATACAAACGTGGGCCACAAGAGAAGCAAAAAAACGTTTAGCAGAACGTGGTGAAGATTTTGCATATCCAATGACCGAAAAACAAAATGAAAATTTTGAATAAATTTGGTTTTCAAGTTAACTAGACATTTTATCACGTCACGTCCTCATAAAATCCCTTTATTTTTATTTAATTCTGGATCAATTCTCAGTTTACATAAACTGAAAACAAAAAGAATGTATTTATTATTAAAACTTCAATTATTCAAGAGATTTTGGCGTTAGATAAGTCAAGTTCGGGATGTTGGGCTTGAAATTTCTTCAATATCTCCTCTTTTTTCAGTTCTTCTGATGTCTTTTTACCCATTTTCTTTTGACGTTGATCAAACTAGAGAAACAAGAAAAAAAATTATATATTTTAATTGTAATTTTAAATGAAAGATAACTTATAATTAAAGTGTACCATCATCTTTTCCACCATTGCGCGAGTTTCACCATCCAGATCGCTCAAATTAGAATTTTCAGGTTGAATTTTAGTTGTATCAATTTCAGGGTGAGTGGTAATAACATTCTTCCACCATTCCATTTGATTACTCTTTTCTATGTGAATGAAAATTTCTTTTTGATCCTCTATATTTGAGAAGTTGAATAATTTACGATACATAAAATAATTGTAAAAAAAAAATAAAATAAAATAAAATAAAATGATAAATACTTACCGAGTGTCCAGGTACAATCATCAATTTTTACTTCTTTACACAATTCGCCCTACAAAATCTCATATTATCATTTACTAGTTTTATCGTAAAAAAAAATAAATATCGCTCAATATTCAATAATACCTCAATAATGGGTGTTTGACCTTTCAATCCAACAGTTAAGTGCTTTTTTTTAATATCAACTTTCAAATCCTTGGCACGCGATCCTTTTGGAACAGGAACAGTTATATCAACGTCCTGTAAAGTTTGTTTCCATTTATAAGGTAAAGCTGAATTATGATCAAGTTTGTAATTTTATTAGCAAATGAAATTCTGAAATTTTGTCCATTAAACTTGTTAATCGAATGAAAGTACCGGCTTGTTCCGCTTCTTCTTTTTCCTTTGCCTTTCTATCCTGTTCGGCTTGTTCTTCAGGTGTCATTTTATCATATTCTTCATTATCTGCCATTTTTGTCGAATTTGTAAATTGTGAAAAAAATTATTTATGATCGGTTCCCTGAATTTGACACAGGAAAATACTAATGAATCGACTGAAGGATTGTTTTAATTGATTCTTCATTGGGTATATTTTTTATAATTACAAGTCATGTGCTAGGATGGCAATTTCATGTTTATTAAACCGTCTTTTTTTTTTTTTTAATAAATGATTTCTGAATGTTTCCGTCTTTAAAGCAATTTATTTTTAAAAATCTTATTGTAAACAGTTTATTAATAAAAAATAAATTTATTATAATATTTTTATAATCCATCTCTATTTTCTATTTTTTTTCTTCATTTCTTTATATAAATTTGATATGATTAAAAGGCATTTCTTTAACATTTATTTTCATTTTTTTTATATTTGGTTGACATTTTGATTTTTATTAATACACAATAATGTAATAAATACAAATTCATATATTTATAAACTGATAAGTTAGATGAATAAGCAAAATTTATAAACTTTTTGTTTAAATCTTATAACCTGTTTCCAAGGTAATCTTATAATAGTATTTAAATAATTATATGCATCATATTTACTTTCTATATTTAATGATAAATGTAATCACATTTTTATATAGTATGAATTAAATGCATTATCAATTCCATTTATTAATTTATAACTTCTTTTATTTAAGATAAAAAAAAACATATAGATCTTTTGCAATAATTTTTAAAAAAATAAGTCTGATTTAAAACTGAACTTGATATATTATATGAGTAAAAGTTTTGTAATATTACAATTATTTTATAAATATTCTTTAAGAAATTTGATAAATAATTTACTTGTAATTTTAAAACTAAATCTACTAAATAATTTCATAATATTATAATTTAAAATATTTTTTTCTATATTTAAAGTTTTTTTAAAACTATTTTATAACTTTTTCTATTAAGTTTGATACTAATCTTATTATCTTAATATCAACTGATAATATAAAACTAAAACTAATAAACTTAATAATATAAAAGTATACAATTTAATTCCAAAAAAACAGTTTTATTATTCAAAAAAAAAAACACTAATAATTTTATGCATACATCTAATTTTCTTTATATTTTTTACTTTCTCTTCTAAAGAAAAAAGCAAACTAACTTGATCTAAAAAATAAATAACTTTAATTTATATAATAAAGTTTATGAAGAAACTTTCTTTAAAATTATTATCATTACTCTTATGTATTTTTATATAATAAATAATATCATTGACATAAAAAGAAAACAGAAAATATATAACTATTAATTTTTATTTAAAACTCAACTAGTGATATCTGAATAAAATCTTTTTTAAAAAATTGTAATTTTGTCAAAAGTTTTGTTTCTTTAATATTTTTATATGAATAAATATAAAATTATTATATTTTTTA